ACCGTATTTTTTTTACTGTAAATAGATGGCAAATATGGTAAATATGATTCCTGTTACGACCGTGTTTAGGTGTATAAACTTATAAAACAATTTGTCTGCGACAGGAAAGAAAAGACTGATGCCATTCGAAAAAAGCGTTTGTTAAGCACGCGAAAGCAGAAATCGTTTGACATCTTTGTTGTTATATTATTTTAAGATGAAGAACTCCATCCATTGTAAGTCTTACACCTACCTCACTAAGAATGCCAGAATCGTACACACTGAATTTCTGTCCTCTACAATAAGAGATTTTATGTGATTCCACAAAAATGCTCCACTTCATGTAGCCTGCATGACGCATAGTTGCAATAAAAATCTTATGGACTATAATTCGCTAAAAGTCATTGAAAAAGGTATCAACGAACAGGCTTGGTTTGGTAGAAATCCGGTCAAGGCTACAGATTTTCTACAAAACTTTTTTCAAACATATGCAGGAACCCCTTTTTAAATGGATGCATCTATCTTCGAAATCACATAAATACAGAAATAAACAATAATGTTTATTTCTTTTTAAAATTCAATGTCTGTTGAATTCATTTTAAGGAATGTTTGATTTTGAACCTATTTTTTTCGCATGCTTAGGAACAGATTCATAAAAGATTATGTTACATTCTTTTAATGACACAAACATGGAATCCATGTTTGCATTCTTTTCTGAGCTAAATTTGGAATTTTGGGACAGCAGATTAGTAATGATTTGAAAATACTTAATTTACCCAAAATAGCCTTGCAAAAGGCCCACTGAGCAATAGACCCGTCATTTGATGCATATAGTCTTTGCGGCAATGGCATTGCCGTATTAAATGGACAGGCACATCCAAATTCCTGTCTGAAAATGGAAAAAAGGCACTTTTGACTGGTACTAAAGTTCATCTTCTAAATATTTTTACCGACGTCCACTGCTTTTTAGCTTATCAAAATCTGTGAAAGGGCGATTTTGCTTAAAATACTCAACTTAATTTGTCCACTTCGATGTGCAATAAGGTTTTTGTTCTGAAAGCATTACAGCTTTCTTTGCCACGAACATAATTGCAGGATATTTCATAAGTATTTACCAAATGACTTGAAAGCAGGAAACAAATTACGGTTCATGAAATTGGATGCTGACTACTTGTACATTTAAATTGCATGGTAGGTAATTTACTCCTCTAAAACGATTAATCTTACACTTGTGTAGTTATATATGATCACTTTTTGATGCGGTTACGCTTCACAAGTCATTTGTGCATAAAATATCATTTGTAAAATTGTCGTTAAGTAAAGCACTTACTTTTTTGAATTCTCCGCATGGTAGCATATTCCATTCATTTGTTTACAAGTCTCACAGAAGCTGTTATTTGAATTCTCAGCAACATTGTCTAGAAGAACATAAAGTATGGATAGGATAACTGATACACATTCTTAACCACTTTTAAAATTTAATTTTCCTTCTCTAGATTGCCTTGCTCAAACCGTTAACTGGGCTTAACGGCCCAGCGCTAAACGCTCAATCTGTTTAATGTTTCATAGACACTGGTTTTATTCCATTCTGCCTCAGCTCAGAGAGAATACAAAACATGAGGCCTTTTGTAAAAACTGAGTGGGTGCAAGTCTGTACAAAAATAGTTGAGATTTCGCAAGTATTGAGGTTCATAACTATGGGAAGTCAGTTAAAATGTAAAATTAATTCCTCTTTACCTCAACACACTCCAAATTTTAGTTTGTTTTAAACAGCATTATCGGACACGAAAATTGTAAACATGTGGCGAAATTGAGGTTGAAGGAGTAAACAATTTCGCGCGGTGTCATGACAGGTGAATGGAGTGCATGGGTGGAAAGTTAAATGTTCCCTTGACGATTTCTCAAATGAAAACACATAGGGAGAGTTTAGTCCCTAGTTAAGCTTTCTGCAGATTTTAAATTAAGTTCTGCTGCTTGCATGATTGGTCTTTTTCGACTTGATTTCCTAAGATTCTTCACTGAAGGTTGTGATATCACATGCCCCCTTAATCGCTTAGCTCTCATTTGTGAGCATAAATGATTCCCATCAGCATTCCCCTCATCTCACTATTTTCATGCATCAGTATTATTACCGTTATTGTCAAATGTCTTAATTTTGTGCATGTAGGAAGATGTCTGCTCAAGGCATTCTGAGCTCCTTCGTACCCTAATAATAAAACATTTTCGATTTCAGTTTGGAGCATTACAAATTTAGGGAAGAGCTGAGGTGCTACACCGATGGTAACAGCGGGCAAATTTGACCCAAAGGAAGATCTAACCTCCTTTTTTGGATATTTATCCAAATTTAACGTCACAAAAGAAGACACCTTTTCGCGGATGTCTAATCTTGGCGGCTCAGTGTGGAAGGCAACTACTTCTGTTATATTTCATTTTCAAGGATTACGCAAATACTGCTTTTGAAGGGAGACCAAGTCTTGATTAGTTGTGGCTGACCTCATAGGAGATTTGGGATACTTCTCTGAACAATATTAATTTATGCCAGAGCCTGAGCAAATGGTATTCCCATTTTTAGTGTTATTTTCGAGTAAATGTTACCACAGAGACTGCAGAAAGTACGGAATGCACTTGCTGCAGAAAAGTTGTCCTTTTTTTAAATAGATCATCCAAATAGATTAGTTTGCTATCGAGTTCGCTTTGCAGAGGATGCACCATTCATAAAACTCTACCAAACCAACCTCATGTATTATTAAACATAGCTCAAGCTCACACAAAGCCTCCTTACAGCTACAGTAGTAGGATGAACAGTGAATGTTGGAAAGACAATCAAGAAGAAGAATGTAGGTGCACAGTGGCTTAGTATTTTATTTGTTTGTACGTTTAGCAACAAGGTCACTTTAGCTGGTTGGTAGAAGTTCCAGTAATGCCTATTGTTGCTTAGTTTTTCTGTGTATTAATAATGAATAATCTTTCGTACTAGCATGTTTTGTTGGGACTTAAGGAAAGTTTAGTGCTCTCTGGTTGTATAAATAGCAATAAGTCCAACAAATGCCTTCTGCGATAGGTAGACAAATTTTGTACAATCATTATTTATAAATTTTCATCTTAATATTTTGGGATCCCATAAAATTCGTCCCAGCTGTAGTGGTCTATGAATAAAACTATTTGTTTTATATAAGCGTCACAAAAATGATTAAATTATTTGATATCACAATTTTTATTTAAGGCAAAAAAATGCTGGAAAAAAGGTTTCAAAAAATGTGATTTTTGTTTAGCATATACTTAATAGTTCCGCCCAATAAGGTTCTAAACAGGGAATATCGTCTTAAAAAGGCAGGCATGATGTGATATTAACGTAATTTAAATATCCTTTAAGCCACTAACTCTTTTGATTATCAAAGTAAAAAACTCTAAAAAAACATTGTGACAGGAAGCATTGATAGGGTGTATGTTGAAATTCAAAGTTCTCTATGTACCCTAATGGGTTTTCTCGGGAATGTGCGCCTACCAGAATCGTTAAACAGTCATTAGAGCTTAGCAAGGTGATAAAAATGCATTAGTTGAGAGCACTTGCATTCGGAAGGAAATGTATGCCTTCCCTAATGCATGCAATGAATCTTACACAGGGCTTTTACATTTTAATGATTCTATTGTTTCCATTGACTGTTCGACATAACTCACACTTTACCGTATTTATTGTTAACTTAAGAATATTATTTAAAAATCTATAGGCGGGAAAATTCGGAAGCCCCTCTTTTGCATGTATTTTTACTAAGAGCGAATATTAGACACTTTTTAAAAAATTATGGGAGATCAGAATTCACTAAAAGAAAATGCAATATCAATCACGAAATCGAGAAGTGACGGGAAGGTTACATGTTACTTCACTATCTTTATACGTGGGTTAGCTCAATTTGCATTCAGAATAAAATTTCCCCAGTATCTTGATGCATTGTCGTCCCTTGTTAGTTCATCACTTTATTGTCCAGAGCGCATAACACAAAAGTGCTTTCCTCTTTCCTTATAGCAATGCTTCATTAATGCATGTCAAGTTTGCATATTCGCCATTAAGTTTTTAGCATAGAATTATCCTAGAATTGGAAGAGCAGACTAAAGGGATCTTAATAAAGAAAAAAAACTGGGAAGGCGAACTAACATGGCTGTTTTTCATAATTTCTATTTGCGCAGAAAAACAATCCCATTTGTATCAGTCCTCCAGAGATAAAAATTCATTTAAGAAAATCTACATTTTCGTAGGAACCAACAGAACGGCGCAGAAGACCGTGCTTATGACCATGAAAAAAATAACACTGCTCTTTTTTTGCAAAGATGCAGATAGAGAGGAAGCAACAATGAGCATACGGATGCTCATACATTCAAAATATTCTCCTATCATTTTAAAGCAGAGAAAAAAACTACAAATTTTATACATCCGAGAAGCAAGAGACTGGTGTCGATTGTTAGCAAAAAATTAAAAATACCTTAATTATTTGAAGTCACAGCGCAGTGTTTTGTTCATCTATCTATAAGCGCTTTGTATTTTCATCACTCCGAAAGCTTAGCTCCATCAAATAAAGTAAAATTTTTCAGCTAGGCAACTGATCGTAGCCAGAAGTGGAGTTTGATGAGCACTTTTACCTCTATGTGAAGCTAAACTTGCAAGCATTTACTGAATGTGGTGGCTACATAAATTTGAGATATCAAACTGGATAGATACGAAAATGACCGGGTACAGGTATTGGTTTCCAGAGACAAAACTTTGCATTAAAGTGAAGTTCCATGTAAACCTAAATTCCTTTATAAATTGATTTAGTTACAGTATGTACTGATGAGTGTTTCGACGGATAATATATTCGGAGAAACTTTCTTTAGTTATC